GTGATGCCGTGTCCTTCCTGCTGGTCCCCGGCCCCTCCTCTGTTCTGCCCTGGGACGCTTCTCCCAACCGACTCTCTCTGGCAGAAGGAAGCCAGGCCCCCTCCCATGGCCTCCCCCGCGCCACTCCGGACCTTCACGGTGGATTCCCTGTGCAAGCTCTTCCGCGTCTACTCCAACTTCCTCCGGGGCAAGCTGAAACTGTACGTCGGGGAGGCCTGCAGGAGGGTGGACAGGTGACCTGCGTTCCTGTCCCGGGCATGTCCACCACCTCGCGCATCACCCCTGCCTGTGCCCACGCCTCCCGCCTCACCACTCCCGACCCCCGCCGGGGGGCTTCAGCTCAGCACCAGCCTGTCCTACGGACACTCCAGGGGCCAGTGGGGACATTCTCAGGGGCCAGAGGAACAGTCCAGAGCTCCAGTCCGACCTCAGGATGCCACCGGATTCATTCAGAGATCCAGGCCGCCGTGCTGGGACGGGGCCAAGGCCTGGTTGCTGCTCTGGCACCCCGAGGGCCGTCACCTTGGACGGGCCGGGCTTCCGTGGACTGACCAAGCAGAGAGCGACCGGGTGCGCTGGAAAACTTGGGTGGCAAGCCATGACCTCTCCTGCGCTTGTGGGGACCTGCTCGCAGGCCGGCAAGAGCCCCCCCTCCCCGCCCCCTGGACCATGAGGGTGGTGGGAGGCACGAAGAAGCACGGGGCTGGCGCCTGGCTGCCGTGGGGTCCAAGGTTTATGTATTTTTCCAATCTCACCGGCAAGAACTGAAATCCATACCACGCCTCCCGGTTCTTCTGTTGTCCCGAAGCCCCCTGCTTTCCGGGCTCTGCCCTGTCCAGGAAGGCCACTGCAGGTCTGGGAAGCCAGAGGTGGCGGGGGCTGGGCCCTACGTGCCGCCTTGCAGGGCCTGGCTGACCTCCTGACCCCGCTGGGCCTGAGGCCACAGGCTCTGCCCACGCTGGTCGATCCCAGGCTCCATTCAAGGCTGTCCTTTGGGAGGCAGCTGCCAACCCATTCAGACCAACCTCGCGGGAACCCAGGAAGCAGAAGCCTAAGACAAGGGCTGGGGGCGGGAGTGGGGGGTGGGGAAGAGGTCGTGACCAAGTCATGACCATGGGGTGTCTCTGATTTCCCCCTCTTCTCCCAGGCCCTTCCCAAAATGCCACATTCCTGGAGGCCCCCTCTGTCACCCAGGGCAGCCGTGCAGCTGACTTCCTTCCCAATTGGGCATCTCAGCCAGAAAGTCACAGAAAAGGCAGAAAGCAGTGTGTGTGTGTGTGTGTGTGTGTGTGTACGCGAGGGGGGTTGAGGCGGGGGAGGGACATGTGGCCAGCAGCCTTCGGATCCCAGTGTCATTTACATGACCTGGATCCAGTGCAGTATGGAGGCTGTCATTGTTCCTACTTCATTATTTATTCATTTATTTATTTTGGTTTGGGAGACATACCCGGCAATGCTCAGGGCTGACTCCTGGCTGTACATTCAGGAATTACTCCTGGTGTGATTGGAGGCCCATATGGGATGCCAGGGATCAAACCAACCCAGGTCGACAGAGTGCAAGGCAGACGCCCTTCCCGCTGGACTATCGCTCTGGCCTTACTGTGTTTCTTGATTGGGCCGGGAATGGGGAGGTTGACCCGTAACTGGCAGTGCTCAGGGGCTATTACTGGCTCGGTGCTTGGGCAACAGATGTTGCTGGTATGGAACCCTGGCCGTGTGCAACGCCAGCACCTTCCCCGCTGTACTATCTCTCCGGCCCACCCACATTGTTTTCCTGTGGAATGGATGAAGGCAAGGCTATGCCTGAGATGAAGGCAACACTGTCCCCCAGCTCCCTGCACCCTCACTTTGCCTCTCTTCAGCTGAGCTCTTCTTTAGAGTCTGCTCCTGCAGCTGGTGGGATGGTGGGGCCCCTGCTAGGAGAAGCCAGCCTCCTCTAGGACCCAGCTTCTGAGCACTTTCTGGGGACAGACCCCCAGGCTTCCCTGGCTTCCCTTACGGTCAGCCCTTACGCTTGTAGCCGGAGAAGCCGGCCTCCACCTCCAAACGAGAGAGGGGAGTTTGTAACCCGAGGCAGATTTAGGGACAGGCTGGAGGACTTCTGTGTGGGATGGGGGTAGGGGTGAAGCCGCGGTGGGCGGAGCTGGTCCAGCGGGCGAAATCCACACGAGGGCGGTGGGGCTCCGGGGAGACAGTGCCCCCTGCAGGTTTTCCAGGGAAGTGTCAGACCAACAGCCAGAGCCCTGGACTGACCTGCCTGGCTCAGGTGCGCGCTGGGACAGAGGCTGGGGCAGGTGCCCTCCCGTTTCCATGGAGATGCGCCGCTGTGACTCAGTAAAGAAAAAACTTCCTCTCAGGTGGAGTTAAACGGGTGGAAACGCATGTCCTGAAGCCCGAGGGATCCCTGTACTAAGTGATGGAGGATCTGATCTAGGCGTTGTAACCCCAATCCCCTTTACTTAATCTGATTTGCTGGCCCCGTACCTGGCTTCTCCACCCCCACACACCAGGATTCAGCATTATTACTCCCCAGCTTCTTCCCACACACCTTGCTAGAGAGCACAGAGATTCGAGTGTAGAACATGTTTGTTTGTTTTTTTTAATCTTTTTTTTTTCTTTTTGGGTCACACCCAGAGATGCGCAAAGGTCACTCCTGGCTCTGCACTCAGGAATCACTCCTGGCAGTGCTCGGGGGACCATATGGGATGCTGGGAATCAAACCCAGGTCGGCCACGTGCAAGGCAAATGCCCTACCCACTGTGCTATTGCTCCAGCCCCTAGAACATGTTTTCCCTAGAATGTGGTTGTGACTCTAGTTCAGATCCTGGCACCTCGTATTACCTGAGCATTACCAACACCTGAGCATTACCAACAGGGGACTCTGAGCACAGAGCACCTTCCCCAGGCACTGCCACCCCCCCCCACCCCAAATTAGGCTGGAGCAGATTTTTTTTCTTTTTGGGTCACACCCAGAGATGCACAGGGGTTAGTCCTGGCTCTGCACTCAGAAATTACTCCTGACGGTGCTCAGGGGACCATATGGGATGCTGGGGATCGAACCTGGGTCGGCTGCGTGCATGGCAAATGCCCTACCCTCTGTGCTATCGCCCCAGCCCCTAGGCTGGAGCAGTAGCTTGGCAGAAGAGTATTGCCTTGCATTAGTGAATTAGTGATGTCTGGGGTCTATTCCCAGCACCAAACAACCCCCCCCCCATTCCCAAGCATCCTTCGCCTTCCCCCACACACACAGTTATGGGACCTGGAAGAACCTAGCCGTCAGGTGCTACCCTGGCAACAACAGGGTTCAAATCTCACTCAGGCTCCTGCAGTTCCAGATCCCTGTGGTGAAGGGTCTGAAGGTAGCTGAGGGAATGCAGAGCGTCCTGTGCTGAATCCGAGCCTGTGCCAGGAATACGGCGCAGACCCCAGTGGGAGCTCCAGGGAAGGAAGAAACAAAGCAATGGATGCTGGACCCTGGCACTTGTGCCAGGCGTGGTAGCTGGTATATTAGGAAGATGAAAAACATAGTTTAGGAGGCTGGAGAGACAACACAGCTGATGAGGTGCTTGCCTTGCAAACAGTTGACCTGAGTTTGATCCCTGACACCCCATGTGGTCCTCTGAATCCCACCAGGAGGGATTCCTGAACATCGAGCCAGGAGTCAGCCCTGAGTACCACTGGGTGTGGCATCCCCACCTCCACAAGAAAGAAAACAGTTGCGTTTTTATTTTTGTTTTTTGTTTGTTTGTTTGTTTTGCTTTTGGGTCACACCCAGTGATGCACAGGGGTTACTCCTGGCTCTGCACTCAGAAATTACTCCTGGCGGTGCTCAGGGGACCATAATGGGATGCTGGGAATCAAACCCGGGTCAGCCGTGTGCAAGGCAAACGCCCTACCCGCTGTGCTATCAATCCAGCCCCAAGAAAGGAAACAGTTTATTGATTCCACGTTTAGTGAGACATGATGGTGCTGTTCTGGGACTAACACTGGGAAATTTGAATGATGGTGTGGGACCCTGAGAGGGCAGTCCAAGGGGGCTCAGGGGCGCCCCATCTGTGGCTGATCCACAGGAGGGCGGGAAGGAGCTGGTGAGGACCAGAGGCCTGTGATGAGATGCGGACTGCACAGGATCCCCCAAGGGACCAATAGCTTCAGTGAATTTTTCTCTTCCCTTCTCTTTTTTTGTCTTGTGGGGAGGGCACACCCAGCCAGTCAGCTACTCCTGGCTCTGCACTCAGGAGTTACTCCTGGTGGTACTTGGGGATCCATTTGGGATGCTGAGAATTGAACCTGGGTTAGTTGTGTCCAAGGCAAGTGTCCTCCCAACTGTACTGTCACTCTAGCCCCTCAGTGATTTTCTTTTTCCTTTCTGGTTTTTGGGCCCCACCCTGCTGTGTTCAGGGCTTTTCCTGGCTTTGCACTCAGGGATCACTCCTGGTGTGCTCTGGGGACAATATAGGGTGCCAGGAATTGAATCTAGGTCAGCCACATGCAAAGCAAACGCCCTCTGCACTGTACTATCACTCTGGCCCTTTTTCTTCTTTTTTTAAGAGAGGAGGGCAAAGTTTGAGACTCCATCTGGCAGTGCTCCGGCACTAATTCTGGCTCTGTGCTCAGGAGCAACACCTGGTGGTGCCCAGGGTTCAAATCCTGAGTGTGCCGGTGGGATTGGAACCCAGGTCAGCCACTTGTAAGAAAAACACCTTGCCTATTGCTCCCGTCCCTCTTTTTTCCTTTTTCTTTCTTATTTTGGTGGATGAGGGGAGGGTACTCTCGACTCTGTGCTCAGGGAATCACTTCTGGTGGTGCTCAGGGGAGCACAGGCAGGTTTTGGGGATCGAACTGGAGTTTAACCCTGCAAGGCCAGCGCCTCCCCTCTGGACTGCATCCCTAGCCTCTGTCATGGGAACTCTCTTCTGAGCTGACGCCCCTGCACTTGGCCTCTCAGCATCCCTGCCAGGCTTGCCTCTCCACCCCAGCCCACAGGGAGGGAAGGTACCATGTCCTGTCCCCATGGCCAGAAAATGGCCCTGAAGCTGGGCCAGGTGAATGGCGATGCCAGTATTTCTGATTTCCCACTGGGCCCAGAGCCAGCTGAGCCAAGTTCTGAGGCAGCAGTTACATAATTGTTGGACAGTCCTGCCTTCGACGTGTCCGCCACTGTCCAGGGTGCCCCTTCTTTGCCCGCCTGCAGCGGCGAGAGAGGGGAGAGAGAAGCTCATGGGTGGGGAGGGCTGTAGTCAAGGTGGCAGGGCAGAGAGAGGGTGCAAAGGTTAAGAGGCTGGCTGTCCAGGGGACACTGGTTCAAATCCTGGCAAGATGTAGGGTTCCCATCAGCACCGCCACTCATAGCGCAGCCGTGAGGGGTGAGGGTGAGGACGCCGGAAGGTTGACAGGGCCTTGGGGTTGTCTGTTTGTTTGGGGGCCACACCCAGCAATGCTCAATCCTGACTCTGCTCTCAGAAATTATTAACTCCTGCTGCCAGTGCTCTGGGGACCATACGGGATGCTGGGGATCGAACCCAGGTCTGCTGCATGCAAGGCCAACGCCCTGCCTGGTGTAATCGCTCTGCCTCCTTTTTTGGGGGGGAGGGGTCACACATGACAATGCACAGGGGTTACTCCTGGCTCATGCAATCAGGAATTACTCCTAGCGGTGCTTGGGGGACCATATGGGATGCTGGGAATCAAACCCGGGTCGGCCGCATGCAAAGTAAATGCCCTACCCTCTGTGCTATTGCTCCAGTCCCTGGCTCCTTTTTGAATATTCGCATATTTTTTCACATGAACTCTCTTTCTAGACTATAATCCAGTCTTACAGGCGAACATGAAGTTGGTCTCTTCTTTCCCTATTGGAAACAACCCTGCCATTCCTATGAGGGGAAGGGGGTGTCGCTTCCAAGCAGGACGCCCAGGTCCTCCCGATCCCCGTGATTCTTTTTTGGGCAGGAACACAACCCACAGTGCTGAGGGCTTCCTCCTGCTTCTGTGCTCAGGGATCACTCCTGGCAGGCTCAGGGGACCAATGGGATGCCGGGATCGAGCCAGGGTCTGCCATGTAAAAGGCAAGCGGCCTCCCCACTGTCCTGTTCCCCCGGCCCCTGCCACAGTTGGCATCTTGGTGAGTGTTTCCTTTCTCGCGAGGTGCTCTCTGGCCCAACCTCTGCTGGAGATAAGGAGACTCCTGCTTCGTTCCTTCCAGGCCTGACCCGTCCACTTTTCTAGTCCTGCAGCTCCTAGGCTGCCCGTTGGCCACCTCCGCCACTGTTGCCAACGACAGAATCTTAGGTCTGAAACGGGTTTTCCGCTGGAATCCCGCGGGTTCCGTTGGAATCTCTGCTGCCGTTAGAATGCAGGTTGCTATCAGGAAGGCCGTGACGACGCGGCTGCCTGATTCTCAGGATGCGGCCCTGCGTTCCTGCGTTGGAGCACTTGGGGTCCTGCTCTCAGCCTCGGGTTCTCTGAGATTCCCAGGCACGCCTCCTGGGGCTCCCGGCAGCCCCTGCTGGGCAGGGGGGGACGGAGCTGTGGGGTCCGGGTCCCTGAAGTGCTTTCCGCTTCTGTGGGGTGGGAGGGAGCTTTGGGAGGACCTTCTCTCTCGACCTCCTTGCCGCCTCTCTCCTGTCTGCCTCTCGCACCTTCTCCCTGGCATTCTCCTGGTTCCTCCTGCTAACGCTCCTCCCCCCGGTTCTGACCTTCAGGCCTCCCAGTGCTGTGTCGCAGAGTGACTCCTGCCCTCCGACTGTGCCTCTTTCATGGCCTCCTGGGAAGGGTGTGTCTAAAGAGGCCGGTGTTCCTCACGCTGCCTCCCCCGCCAGCTGCCTGTGAGCTCCCACATGGCCCCCCCAATCTGGACACTGGCACTGCTGGTGGGGGCCGCCTGGGCCCATAGCCACATGTCTGCCTCCATCCTGTAAGCCGGGCACTGGGGCAGAGAGGGGGAGGCCAGGTCAGGGGTGAGGGACAGGACAGGAGAAGGAGGAGGGAGAGCAAGGGGAGCCCCGGGGAGCAGACTGGGGGCAGAGGCAGGCAGGACAGGGGCGCAGCGTTGGGGAGACGGGGCTGACAGGTGAAGGGGAAGCAAACCCTCAAGCAAAGGACAAACTCAGGGGCCGATAGTCCAGCATTAAGAGCACTTGCCTTGCATGTAGCTGACCCAGGTTCAATCCCCGGCTTCCCCCTGGGTCCCCCAGCGCACCTGAGCCCAGAGCCAGGAGTAACCCCTGAGCATCTCCAGGTGTGACCCAAAACACAAAAACAATAGAATACAAGGCACAGAAGGGACACAGAGGGGAGGCGGCCAGGAATGGAAAGTTTGGGGTCCGGAGGCCTGTGGTGGGGGCTGGCCTGGACTTGCTCCTTGTACTTTTCCTGCACCTCCTCCTAGGGGGCAGCAGCTGAGACCGAGAAGACATGGGCCCTGGGATGCTGGGAGGGGGACCCCATGTTTGTATGAGGGCTAGAGTGGCCATGGATCTCCATGACAGGAACCAAGGGGCAAGTATCTCGTTTTTTTTCTGGGGCTCAACCACCAGGCAGGAGAAACCTCTGGACCAGAAGCTGGAGGGTCTGATCTCCAATGGCAGCAGTGAGTGGGAGGTCCCAAGACCTCGGCCCTCCTCCCCGGGGACCCCTCGGACTCTCTCCCCCCCTGGGACCCTTAGGGCTCTCCTCTCCCAGGACCCCTCGGGTCCCCTCTCCTCCCGTGTCCCCTCAGACTCTCTCTCCCCCCGGGACCCCTCAGGCCCTCTCTCCCCCTGGGACCCCCAGGCCTTTCTCCTATTAGTGTCCCTCAGATCTTCTCTATTCCTAGGATATCCTGTGGGTGTTTTATTTCTGGTTTCCAGGGCCTCCCAACCACACTGGGGGCCCCCAGAGCTCCCTACAGGGTGCTGGGGTACCCTGCAGTGCTTGGGACAAACCTGGGGCACTGCAACCCTTCTTGCCACCTCTGAAGTCCCAAAAGGGTGTGAAGGGCCGTCCTGGGCCTGCTGGAGGAGCCCCCTTCAAATGCATAACACACCCCGGCACACACCCCCACTTCCGCCTGCAAGCCCTGTCCAAGGCCCCCCAATTCCTCCCCAGAGATGACTCTTCTCTCCAATGCTCCCTCCAAGTCCCAGCTTCCCGCCCCTCCCGGGGACCACGCGCAGGGTTTCGTGGGGCTCCCCATCTGGCCTCACCCCCCCCCCACCTTCCCTGCAGGCATCATCACCCAGTGTGACTTTGAGGATGACAACAAACCCCTGTGTGGCTGGTCCCAGGGGTCCATGGATGACGGGGACTGGACCCGAGACAAAGTGTCATTCCCCAAGAGTGTCATGGGGCCCCCCGGGGGGTACCCAAGAGGAGGTGAGAGAGGGCTTAGAGAGCACTGTAGCCAGGGCCAGCTGGGCGAGGCAGTGGGTGTGGAGGCAGCTGGGAGGGGGCAGGCTGCATGGGGGGAGAGCCGAGGGGGGCCTGTGGGCATAGGGGCAGTTGGAAAGGGCTGATGGTGGAGGGCTTGCAGACGTGGGGGGGCAGGGAGGGCAGGGGGGCGTGGGGGCAGCTGGGAGGGGGCAGGTGGGCCCGGCCCCATCAACGAGCCTCCTGCCCCCTCAGATGGCTACTACTTGCACATGCTCTCCAGCACCTTCCCTCGGCGAGGGGTCGCCCGCTTGCGCAGCCCCCCAATCTGGGAACAAGGGCCCCTGTGCCTGCACTTCGTCTACCGCCTGTTCGGGCTGTCCTGGGGCGCCCAGCTGAGGCTGCTGCTGCAGGTCGGAGAGCAGGACCAGAATCAGCACCCCAACACCCTCTGGAAGCACTTCAACTCGCAAAGCCCCTCCTGGACCCCCATCACCATCACGGTGCCCGCTGCTGAGCTCAGCCTGCCCCGGAGGGTGAGGCCGTGATGGGGGCCGTGGGGTGCGGGGTCGGCTGTGGGCAAAGGGGGGGGCTGCGGTGGACAGCAGGCCAGGGCTGTCTGTCTGGAGTCAGGAAACGGCGAGCCGCGGGTGGAGGTGCTCAGGGTGCATGGGGTGGCCACTGCCTCCTCCACAGCTGGTGTTTGAAGGGATGCGCGGCAGCACGACTTACCTGGACATCGCGCTGGACTCCATCGCTCTCCATCGGGGCTCCTGCAATCAGGGTGAGCCCCTCCACCCCGTACCCCTGATCATCTGTGCTGGTTGGCAGCTCAGACACCCACAGGCCTAACCTGAAGCCTCCCAGAGTAGGAGCTACTGGCTCCCCTCACCTCTGCACCCCATCAACAACCCCATCCTCTTTCGTGTTCCCTCGGGGCTCAGAATTGGGGCTCAGAATTGGGGGGGAACCCTCAATTCTGGGCATGCCCGGCTGCACCCTCATCTGCCCAACTGACACTAGAGATTCCGGGGGGGGGGTGAAGCAAACTAAAGGGAGAGTATTCCAGAAACTGGAGGGTGAAAGGAACTTACACTCCGTGAGCTTGGCACCCCAACTCCGAGGTGTCCGCCCTCCCCCGCGTCTCTGCCGCACTTCCCAGGCCGAAAGGTTTGGGTCCGTTCATGACGCGTGTTATCATGCACAGCCACTAGGGGGCAGAACTCAGCTGGGCTCAAGCCCAACCTTCCAAATCGGGCGAATCCCACCCACATCCCCGCCCGCTCCCAGTCTGCGTGTCACAGGTGTGCAGCTTCGACACGCTGAATGACCTCTGCGGCTGGAGCTGGATCCCCACAGTCTCGGGGGCCAAGTGGGTCCAGAAGAATGGGTCGTCGGGGATGCCGAATGTGGGGCCTGAGGATGACTTTTCCAAACCCGGCGGTAAGGAAACCGGATCTTCTTGGGAGGTTATTTTCCCGTTGGTACCCTTTCTGGGTTTCTCTAGTGACCTTGCCAGGGCTAACAGATGTTGGCTGGCTGTGCCTCGTGACAGTCTGAACCCCAGCGACCTTAAATGTCCATATGCCCCAGTCCTAAGGTAGAAAGTAGACTCCCCTCCATCCCCCACAAACCCCGCCCTGCAGCCGGCCCCTGCCAACTGGCCTTCACCCCTTCTGGCATTCATCAATTAATACTGAGCACCCACAGCAATCCCTGTGACCATCCCACATACTTCTAAGGGGTCTCCCTGACTCCAGGAGGGTTAGAGGGGAGGAGGTGGTGCCTGAGACAGTAATGAAGTAGGTCCTAGTGTCACCACTGAGTCTTGCTCTAAAGGAGACATAAAAACTAATCAAGGGGGCTGGAGTGATAGCACAGCGAGTAGGGCATTTGCCTTGCACGCGGCCAACCCAGGTTCAATTCCCAGCATCCCATATGGTCTCCTGAGCACCACCAGGAGTAATTCCTGAGTGCAGAGCCAGCAGTAACGCCTGTGCATCGCTGGGTGTGGCCCAAAAAGGAAAAAAAAAACACTAACCAAGGGGGGCTGGAGCCATAACGCGTATAGGGCATTGGCTTTACACTTTCATCCAAACCAGGTTGGGCAACCAGTACCGATCTATAAGTGCAGAGCCAGAAGCACGATTTGAGCTCCACTGGGTGTGGCCCCCAAACCAAAAGGGAACCAAAACTTGCCAAGTGAGGGTTTTGATGTGCTGAGATGAGTGGTGCTCAGTTTTTTGGTTTTGTTCTTCCTGGTTTTTGAGCCACACCTGATGATGCTCAGGGTTTACTCCTGGCTCCACACTCAGGAATTACTCCTGGTGGTGCTTGGGGAATCATAAGGATGCCGGGAAACAAACCCGGATCGGCCTCGTGCAAGGCCAGTGCCCTCCCCGCTGTCCTCTCGCTCCAGATCAGAGGGATGCTCAGCTTTAAACAGGGAAGTCAGGCAGAGATAGCTCAACGGGCAGAGTGCAGGCTTTGCATGCAAGAAGCCCAAGTTTAATCCCTGGCATATCCCTGACAAACACAGTAGCACCCTCTGAGCACTGAGAGGAACTGCCAAGCAGGTTACATTTGAGCAGCACTTTGCTCTGTATTTTGGCCACGCCCTGTGGTGGTGCTCAGGGCTGACTCCTGGCTCTGCACTCAGGGATAACTCCTGGTGGTGCTCAGGGGGACCATATTGGGGTACTAGGGATCAAATCCCTGTTGGACGCATGCAAGCCCTCCCTGCTGTACTATTGCTCTGGCCCAATTGGGGTGATGTGGGAAGCAGGCAGGAGAGCAGAGGGAAGAGCAGAGATCAACTCAAAGGCTCCGGGGTGGGTGGATGTGGCTGGGATGAAGGGCTGAGGCTGGTCCTAGGAGGACAGGTGGCTACTCAGGATTGGATTGAATGGACAGCCCATGCAAGAGGACCCCCTTGATCTGTCCTGTTTGAAAGGCCAGCTGTTTTATTTGGGGGGGTCACACCCGGCAATGGGAATCGAACCCAGGTCGGCCATGTGCAAAGCAACGCTCTACCCACTGTGCTATTGCTCCAGGCTCCAGCCCCACCAGCATTTTCTTTATGTGGAGCATCAGAATGTGCATGGCCAAATGCACATACCCCTCTCCGAGGCTTCTGTACAGACGGTGGATAAGACACTTAGGTTTCTGGTGCCTAGCTTTGTCTCCTTCCTTTCCCTCACCTGCCTTCTTTCCTCACCCCTGCCGCATTTCCCCTCTGTCTCCAAACTACATGAATTTCCAGGCTCCACTGAGCAGGGGGAGATGAGGATTTGCAGGTCACATTCCCTAATTTTCTTCCCTTGTGTGTTCTCCTTCTTTTCTTTCCTTCCATCTTCTCAAGTTCGTGGTTTTTCTTTTTCCATCTATGTCCCCACCCTCCCTCCTCTTCCTTGCTTAAGCCCTTCTGGTACCCCAGAAGCCGAGCCTCTGACCTTTTCTGCAGCCTGAGGTTCTGGAAGGATCCTGAAAACTGACCCACTGCAGCCAGCCCAGCACGGTCGCCCCCCTCACAGTCCTCACAGTATTTAGCAAATGACAGCATGCCAGCTGCATCAGCAAAGGGTGCTGGTAATAGTTGGGTTTGTTTAAAAAGATTTTATTTATTTATTATTTTGCTTTTGGGGTCACACTTGGCGATGCTCAGGGGTTACTCCTGGCTCTGCACTCAGGAATTAGTCCTGGCACTGCTCAGGGGACCATATGGGATGTCAGGGTTGGAACCTAGGTCGGCCACGTGCACGGCAAACACTCTACCTGCTGTGCTCTCTGGCCATACTGGTAGTAGTTTTAAATTCTTTTGCTTTGTTTCGTTTCCTTTCGGGGCCACACCTGGCGCTGCTCAGGAATTACTTCGGGGAACCATACGCGGTGCTGTCTCCCTGTCTCCCTTGTCTCATTGTTCAAATGACCGCGCATCGCCGCTCCTTCACCACGATACCGTTTCCTTTCCGGCCTCCTTCCTCTTTCCGCGACGGTTCTTCCTCTCTTCTTTGCCTCTGCCGCCCACCCTCCCCTCCCGTGTCCGCTGCACGGCTGCCCAGCCAAGCGGCGAGGGCCGCCTGTCGCCTGCGGTACCCGGCGCTGGCAACGGCACGCTCCTACGCATGCGTAAACCCGGCGGCCGCCGAATTCCCCCGGCGACCGGTTGCGTCACTGAGCAAAGTCCTGAGTGATTGGCTGCGCGTGCTGGGGGGCGGGGATAGGGGCGGGTCCAGCGCTCTCAGTTCTCTCTCTCATTTCGTGGGGCAATCAGCCACGTCCAGGGGGACAGATGGGAAAGGCGATGTGGCTTTCAGGGGGACACCTCGAAGTCAGAACTCAAGGAAAAGGCTCTGGGTGTGTGGGTTGCCGCGTTTCGTAGCTGCTTTCGCTCTTCTAGAAGGATGGAGGGCTTCAGTCGTAGGCGGGCTGTTCGGGTTCCCTGAGTCTATCCGCCCCCCCCCCCCCCATTCCAGCCACCCCCTCCTTACTGACCCCTCACAGGTGGCTTCTACATGCTTCTGGACCCCGCAAACGCGAAGGAAGGGCAGAAATCCGCGCTCGTGAGCCCCGAGACTCTGTCGTCGGGGTGCCTGAGCCTGTCCTTCCACTACACGCTCCGCGGCTACTCGCCCAGCGCCGCCCTGAGCGTCTACGCGCAGGTGGTGGGTGAGTGGGGGGACAGCTCCGCCCGGCTCCCGGGGAGCCCAGCCCCGGGCCGCGATCACGTCGCGATCACAACGCGATCACAACGCGATCACGCCGGGGGAGCGCGGGAAAGCAGCTCCAGGAGCCGGGGGCGGGTGGGGGGATGAGAGCAGGGGGTCTGCAGTCGTGGGATTGTCGCCTGCCGCCGCCCCTCACCCCCTTCTCTCTCGGACCCCCACCGCAGGCAGCATCCGGAAACACAGGCTCTTCTCGGGCCAGCCCGCCGCAGGCTGGCAGCCGGTCTCGGTCAATTACACGGGCCAGGGCGCCCTTCAGGTACCGGGAGGGGCTTCCCGACGAGGTCCCAGGCACCGGGCGGGACGGGCTCCCAACACCTGCTCTCCCCATCCCCTCCAGTTCATCATTGTCGGCGTGTTCGGAAAGGAACCGGAGCCCGCTGTTGCTGTGGACGAGATCCGCATCGCTCCCTGTGGGGGTGAGAGGCGGGTGCCGGGAGACCCCGATCTCTTGGAACGGCAATAAGGGTGCGAGGCGGGGAGGAGTAGACAGCGCGACTGGAAATGCTCAGGTGTCACCTTTGAATCTCCCAGAGACTTTCCCCCAGTGCGATTTTGAAGATGACGTCCATCCCTTCTGCGACTGGTCCCAGGTGGCAGAGAGAGGCGGAGAGTGGACCCGGGGAAATAAAACCAGCCCCGACACAGCCTCCATCGGAAATTCTTTAAAAAACGGTGAGGAGGGGCTAGAGCGAAACTACAGAGTGGTTGCCTTGCACGCCACTGACCCGGCTTTGATTCCCAGCATCTCATATGATCCCCCGAACACCGCCAGGAGTAATTCCTGAGTGCAAAGCCAGGAGTAACCCCTGTGCATTGCTGGGTGTGACCCAAAAAGAAAAGAAGAACAAAACCAAAACGGTGAGGAGGGTTTGGAGAGTTAGGACAGCGACCAAGGTGCTGCCTTGCACCTGACCCATTCAGATTCAATGCCCAGCACCACCTCTGGTCCGCAGAACATTGCCAGGAGGGTCCCTGCCTGGGTACTGACTGAGCCAGGAGGAAGTCCTGAGCCCACCTGATTGGCTCCAAAACCGAACACCAGCAGTGGGGAGCTGCAGGAGGCCTGAGGACCCTGTATTCTGGAATAATCTGGCATGAGCGCAGAGGCAGGGCCTTGGGGATGTCTGGGGAAGGGCTGTGGCATAGAATTGTGGTGGGACAGAGGTAGACTCCAGGATCACCCAGAAACACAGCCTTCTTCTTCTTTTTATTAACTTTTTTATTGAATCACTGTGAGATAGATGCTTACAAAGCTGCTCATGATTGGATTTCAGTCATCAGTATTCCAACACCCATCCCTCCACCAGTGTACATTTGCCAGCACCAGTGTCCCCGGGTTCCCACCCATCACCCCCCACCCTTCACCCCTTCTCCTGCCTCTATAGCAGGTGCTTTTCTTCTCTCTCTCTCTCTCTCTCTCTCTCTCTCTCTCTCTCTCTCTCTCTCTCCTCTTTTGGGCATTGTGGCATTGAAAGGTTATCAAGAATATCCTTTTACCGACTTTAACACTTAGATCTTGTCCAGCGTGATCATTCCCAGCTATTATTGTCATATTGGTCTCTTCTCTATCTTATCTACCCTCAGCCCCACACACACTTGTGGTTAGTTCCAACCACTGACCAGTCCTCCTAACCTGTTTTCCCTGGCCATGGATATTAATCTTCTAATAAAATGAATGCAGTCATTCTATATCTATCTCTCTCCTCCTGACTCGTTTCACTCGGCATGATACTATCCATACTCATCCATTTATAGGAAAATTTCATGACTTCATTTTCCCTAACATCTGCGTAGTATTCCATTGGAGACACAGCCGTCTTACTTCAGACACAGTCTGGGCTTCAAAGGCCATGTTCCTCCTTTTCAGTGACATTTACTAATGAAGCCAGCAGAGGAATCTGGATTGTGGGACTGGTGGCTTTTCTTGTTTCTTTTTGTTTGGGGTGGTGCTGGGGATCAAACCCAGGGCCACATACATGCAAGTCGTGCACTGAATCTTGTCCTTGGCTATGACTTTCTTTCCCATTCCATTCCCTTTAGTTAGAAGTGCTGTTAGGTAGGGAACTGAAGGGACAGTCCAGCAGGTAGGATTCATCGATTCCTGTATAATCCCCTCAAGCCCTGACAGGAGTGATCCCTGAACACGGAGCCAGGAACAAGGTCTGAGCACCACCAGGTGTCACCCCCAGACAAACAAACAAACAAACAGAAGTGTGAGGCAGATGACTCAGAGAGATGGGACTTAGGTCCTACTTGCGGGAGGCACCCAGCTCTGTGTTGTCTGGAGGCCAGGGTCGGGAAGAGAGCACTCAGTGGCTGGTGTTTGCGCCTTGCATGCAGTAGGCCTGGGTTTGATCTGCAGTCCCACACGGAGAAACACCCAAGAACACCAACACCCCATCCAAGTTGACTGTTTGCCTCCACAAAGCCTCTCCGGCTTGCCCAGTGGTGGTCACTCACTGGCCTCTCCCCTATCCCCCCCAGGGGTTCACTTCATCTACCTGGCAAATAATAAGTTCTCCCAGGAGGGCCAGAACTTCCGGCTGCAAAGTCGCCCCTTCTGTGCCCCTGATGCCATCTGCGTGGAGTTTTCCTACCACATGCTTGGCCTCGGAAACGGCACGACCCTCAAGCTACTGCTCAGCAGTCCCACGGGCTCCCCTCCAAAATCTCTCTGGTGCCAGCAGGGGTCCCAGAAACCTGACTGGATGAAAATTTCAATCACCATCCCTTCGGGACTTCCGCAACCCATACAGGTGAGGGACAGTGCCCAGCAGGCCTGAGAAGCAGGGGTGCGAGCAGGACAGAGGTGGTCCCTGGGGGTTCGAGAGCATCCAACTCCTGACAGAGACAAGGGGGTGGAGGCTGGAACCAGGGCCATGCCAGGACATGGGCCGAGGAGGACAGACCGCTCGGATCCACTTGCCTTCCTCCTCACTTCCTTCTCTCCCTGGTATCTTCAGCTGATCCTGAGTGCCATCAGGGGCTCCAACAAGGCCTTTATTGTGGCTGTGGGCTTCATTGGGATCAATCAAGGGACCTGTCAAGGTGAGCCAGACCCCAGGGATAGAGCTCTGGGAAGACAAGCCTCAAGCTACTGCCCTGCTTCCTATATGGGTTCTCTCATGCCAGGGGAGGGGGGGGAAGTTTAGTTTTATTTATTTTGCCCATCTCTTCCTTCACGTTCCCTTTGAAGTGCCTGTTTGAGTGAATGGGACTTTGAGGACAAGAATTCCCATGGGGGGAGCCAGAAGGCCTAATCCTGACCTCCATGAGGAGGAATGGGAACTGCACATGAGGTCACTGAGTAGAGAAAGGATTTGCTGAGTGCAGTGAGTGAAGGCGGGGCTGGAGGTAGGGTAGGTGTCAGTAAGCTCTTTGTGGGTGTGTTTTTATTTGTGGTGCTGAAGATCGAATCCAGGGCTCACTCACATGGAAGCAGTTGCTCAACTGCTAAGCCTCACCCTGGCCCCAAACTATCTCTTTGAGCCCACTTTCTCGGGTGAGGTGTGATTGAAGGCAGTGATTTGAATAATCTCCAAGGTTTTTATTTTCTCTACAGAACCTGCAGCAACAGTGCATCCTTCCCAGCCTCCTGACACATGTGAACCCCCTTACCCTACAGAATCATTCATTGACCCCCTAAAAACATCCACTGTGAGCTACACAGCTACCTTGCCCACAGAACAGATTATAGACCTCACAGAGATAACTGTAGGGCCCACAGGAAAACCTACTGTCTCCTCTGGGGAGAAGAACATTGAATCTCAAGAAATCATTTCCCCTCCCAAAGAATTCACTGTACCCCCTGAAGAATTTATTTCTCCCCCTGAAGAGGAAACCGGCCTTTCTGTAGAGATAAGTGTCTCTGTGGGGCAAAGGCAAACTACCCTCCTTAAAGAGCAACCAACTGCTCTTTCTGAAGAGTTCAGTGTCCCTCCTGAAAAGCAAACTACCGCTGCTGAACCCACAGAAAAGCCAATTATGCCTACAGAAGAACCCACCGTGCTCACAGAAGAAACCATCCCCACAGAAAAACCCACTGTCCCTACTGAAACATCCACTGTCACCACTAAAGAAATCACAGAAAATACAATTCTTGCCACAGAAAACCTCACCATTGCCACCGAAAAGCCTACCATTCCCACAGAAAGGCTCACCATCATCCCCACAGAAAATCCCACCATCTCCACAGAAAAAACAGCTGTCCTCACAGAAAAAAGCACTGTCCCCACTGAAAAACCCACTGAAAAACCCACTGAAAAACCCACAGAAGAACCCACTGTCCCCACCAAAAAACCCACTGAAAAACCCACTGTCTCCAGCGAAAAACCCACTGTCCCCACTGAAAAACCCACAGAAGAACCCACTGTCCCCACCAAAAAACCCACTGAAAAACCCACTGTCTCCAGCGAAAAACCCACTGTCCCCACTGAAAAACCCACAGAAGAACCCACTGTCCCCACCAAAAAACCCACTGAAAAACCCACTGTCTCCAGCGAAAAACTCACTGTCCCCACTGAAAAACCCACAGAAGAACCCACTGTCCCCACCAAAAAACCCACTGAAAAACCCACTGTCTCCAGCGAAAAACCCACTGTCCCCACTGAAAAACCTACAGAAGAACCCACTGTCCCTACCAAAAAACCCACTGAAAAAACCACTGTCTCCAGCGAAAAACCCACTGTCCCCACTGAAAAACCCACAGAAGAACCCACTGTCCCCACCAAAAAACCCACTGAAAAACCCATTGTCTTCAGCGAAAAACCCACTGTCCCCACTGAAAAATCCACAGAAGAATCCACTGTCCCCACTGAAAAACCTACAGAAAAACCCACTGTCCCCACTGAAAAACCCACAGAAGAACCCACTGTCCCCACTGAAAAATCCACAGAAAAACCCACTGTCCTCACTAAAAGACCCACAGAAAAACTCACTGTCCCCACTGAAAAACCCACTGTCTCCACCAATAAAACCACTGTCCCCATTGAAAATCCCACAGAAAAATCCACTGTCCCCATTGAAAAACCCACAGAAAAACCCACTGTCCCCATTGAAAAACCCACTGTCTCCACCGAAAAACCCACTGTCTCCAGCGAAAAGCCCACTGTCCCCACTGAAAAACCCACAGAAAAAACCCCGGTCCCTGCCGAAAAATGCACTGTCCCCACCAATAAAACCACTGTCCCCATTGAAAAACCCACAGAAAAACCCACTGTCCCCACCGAAAAATGCACTGTCCCCACCAATAAAACCACTGTCCCCATTGAAAATCCCACAGAAAAATCCACTGTCCCCACTGAAAAACCCACAGAAAAACTCACTGTCCCCATTGAAAAACCCACTGTCCCCACCGAAAAACCCACTATCTCCAGCGAAAAGCTCACTGTCCCCACTGAAAAACCCACAGAAAAACCCCCGGTCCCTGCCGAAAAATGCACTGTTCCCACCAATAAAACCACTGTCCCCATTGAAAATCCCACAGAAAAATCCATTGTCCCCACTGAAAAACCCACAGAAAAACCCACTGTCCCCATTGAAAAACCCACTGTCCCCACTGAAAAACCCACTATCTCCAGCGAAAAGCTCACTGTCCCCACTGAAAAACCCACAGAAAAACCCCCGGTTCCTGCCGAAAAATGCACTGTTCCCACCAATAAAACCACTGTCCCCACCGAAAAACCCACTGATCTTACTGAAAAACCCATTGTCCCCACTGAAAAACCCACTGATCCCACTAGCACATCCACTGTTCACACTGAAGCATCCACTGTCCACACTGAAACACCTACTGTCCACACTGAAACACCCATTGTCCACACTGAAGCATCCACTGTCCACACTGAGAATCTCACTGTCCCCACAGAAAAACCCACAGTTCCCACGCAGAAATTCATGCTTTCCTTTCAAAGTTCCACAAAACCAACAATCTCGATGACGCCTCTTAAAGCTCTGAGCACTTCCCCGGCCACCACAACAACCAGTGCACAGCATCGAGGTACGAAACGAAGCATGGGATGAAGAACGAGAAGTAGGAGACTGTGACTTGGAGAGAGAATTCCAGAGGGAGGCATGAGAATACATCAGACATGGTGACCCTAGAGAAATGAGGCCTGTCCATGAGCACGGGGACACCAGAGCTTACTGGGTGAAGCCTGTGGGGCCTAAAGGACCTAGGACTTCTCTTTTAGGGTTTGGGTCACACCTGGCAATGCTTGGGGGACCTTATGGGTGGCCGGAGATGAGTGGGTTATGTGCAAGGCAAGCACCTTCCCTTCTGTATTGTCACCCCAGCTCCCAATTATCTTTAAATTGAGATTTCCCTGGGGGCTGGAGCAATAGCACAGAGGGGAGGGTGTTTGCCTTGCACGCGGTTGACCTGGGTTCAATTCCCAGCATCCCATATGGTCCCCTGAGCACCGCCAGGAGTAATTCCTGAGTGCATGAGCCAGGAATAATCCCTTTGAATGGCCGGGTTTGACCCAAAAAGAAAAAAAAAAAGAAAAGAAAAAATTGAGATTTTCCTCATCCCTGGCAGCAACATATTTGCTTTTTCTATGCATTTGTCTGTTCTGGACATTTCCTGCTAAAGGAACCGAATGCCATGTGGCCTTTGGTGTCCCGGTCTCTTCCCCGAGCAGGTTCCCCAGACTCAGCCATGTTGGCACAGGACCTCACTCCTCTTGAGGTCAGGATAACACAGGCCGACTTCTTGGAGGAGAGCTGGCGTGTGGGGGTGGAAGAGATGCGTGAAGTCACCCTTGGGGACAGCGGCATTTCTGTGGCTTGACCAAGGCTGTATTTCCCCCTCAGAGCTGTGTCCCCCAAATGCCCACTTCGAGAGGTGCGGCTGCCTGGCATCCTGTAACAACCCCAGGCCCAGCTGCGGCAGCCACTGTGTGAGCGGCTGCGTCTGCAATTCTGGCTATTTGTTCAGTAACAACAGCTGTACCGCGGCCTCTTCCTGCAGCTGCTTCTACAATAACAATTACTATAAGGTAAGACCACCCTGGCGTCCAGATCCCCCAAGGAGAGGGGCCAGCGGCACACTGGGCTTCCAGCTCCATCTGCTCCTCAGCTGACAGGAATTGGGATCCATGGCACATGCCCAAGCAATGGGGTCATTCATTCAGCATTTGGTGTTTGATTGTCTTCTCTGCTCATACAATTGGCCTCACAAGATGAACACTTGGCCCCACAAGATGCTACAATATGTGGAAGGTTTGTCATCTGAGGCCTTGTACTTTTTTTTGGGGGGGGGAGAAGGGTAACACGCTGCGATGGTCAGGGGTTACTCCTGGCTCATGCACTCAAGAATTACTCCTGACGGTGCTTGGGGGACCATATGGGATGCTGGGAATCGAACCCGGGTCGGCCACGTGCAAGGCAAATGCTCACCCGCTGTAGTATTGCTCCAGCCCCTGAGGCCTTGTACTTTGATTCTTTGCGGGGAGGTACAGGAAGGAGGGCCACAACTGGCAATACTCAGTTTACTCCTGGCTCTGCGCTCAGGAATCACTTCTGACAGTGCTCAGGGAACCCTATGGGATGCCGGGAATCGAACCTGAGTTAGCTGCTTGCCATAATGCTTGTGCCCTACCCGCCTCTGCCCTGTGGGCGGGTCCTGAATGTGCCGAACAGGCTTGCTATCTCTGTCCTCCTCTGCCGCCTCCTGGCAGCCTTGATGTATTACACCCCAGCCCTCTGGGGTAGTCTCTCCTTGGGGGAGTGGTCAGGGAGGGGGGTTGTAGAGAGAGTCCTGGACACTGAGCTTCAAGGGGGAGCTTCAGGACAGAACCCAACATTCCAGAACCTGCCACAGGAACTTGTAAATACTGATAAGCTAGGTCAAAAGAGAAGCATTGCTTCATTCTCTTCTCCCTGGGGAGATTTGGCAAGAGCCGGAGCTCAGGAAGGGCCCAGGATGAAGGCCAACGCTGTCCCCAAGGGATGGCATGCCAGCCACACCCGCTGTGTTTATGCTTCCTAAAAATCGAGTTAAATACATTTTAAAAAGTGGAATAGGCCGGATTCATTCTGGTAACCCACTCTCCCGAATAGACATGTTTCAGTCAAACAAACACTGTCCTCCCGTTGTTCATCAATTTGCTCGAGCAGGCCCAGTAACATTGTGAGACTTGTTACTGTGTTTGGCATATCGAATACGTCACGGGTTGCTTGCTAGGCTTTGCCGTTCGGGTGAGATACTCTCGGTAGCTTGCCGGGCTCTCCAAGAGAGGCGGAGGAATCGAACCCGGCTTGGCCGGGCTGGCTGTGCACGAAGCAAACACCCTAGCTATCACTCCAGCTCCAGTCATGTTTCAGTATAATGAATAATTATGGGTGATTACTACTAATTACTAAACAGGAAGGAGTCGTTTGCATCTCTGTGTTGTGGTCGCTCATACTGTCTTCAAAACCCGGTTTGGCTCGTGCACCCAGCGTGGGCCACAGAGTGGCCTCTGAGCACGCGGTTCCATGTGGCTGCTGGCCCTTGTGGGACCGAGAGACAGGCTTATCCCTCATGTCTCAGGGCGGTCTGGGGCTGAGGCTCTTGAGCGCTTTAATTCTGTGTCCACATTTATAAAACGTGCACAGTGAGATTTTCTACCTGGTAAAATTAGGCTCTAATATAGGCAATTAGTTTCTGGGTGTTAATTGCTGTGACTGTTAGCAGGGCATCTCAGGCGCCCTATTCATTAAAGGGGTGTCGGACACGTTTGTCAGAACCCAGTCTCTTCTCGAATCCCGATTCTTCTCTTTTTCTCATTGGAGTTTGAGCCGGCCCCTTCAGGGCCATTTCCTCCCTCCTTCCACCCCCCAGCAGCCCCCTGGTTATATCTGTGATCTTTTTGGTTTCGCTTTTTGAAGCCACACCTGGTGATGCTCAGGGGTTACTCCTGGCTCTGCAATCAGGGATTAGTCCTGGTGGTGCCTGGGGGACCCTATGGGATGCCGGGGATTGAACCTGCATCGGCCGCCATGTGCAAGGCAATTGCCCTCCCCGCTGCACTCTCTCTCGGGCCCTTGCAAATATCTATGGAAACCTCTCTGCTATGCGTTCTGCTCTGAGACTGAATGAGGATACGGAAGTGCCTCCTTGGGACCTCCCCACAAATCAATAGAAAAGGGTTGTCCTGATCAGTCCCATGAAGGAACGGCACCCCAAGCTGTGAGGAGGACATGATCAGGGAGGGTGGGACTAGCTCTCGAGGTTGGGAACCCTTCAGCGGAGTTTCGTTGGCTTAGAGGCCAGATGTAGAAAGAGAGAGAGACTGGTGCCCTCTGGGAGGAGGCCAGCCTGTGCCAATGTCCTGGGGTGTATAAGTGTCCACTGAATGCCGGCGCCTAGTAGAATCAGACTGCAGTCGGGTCTGTGGTTGTGGTGGAGGAAAAGGCAGGAGGGCCCCCCCCCCGGTGCTCCCACCTGGTGATAGGGTTCCCTGCTCCTAGATCGGCGACTCGTGGTTCAGTTCCAACTGCTCGGAGCGCTGCCACTGCTTGCCTGGCAGTAACATGAGGTGTCATTTGGCTCGCTGCGGGACAAACTCGGTGTGCCAGCTGAAGAATGGCCAGTATGGCTGCCACCCCTATGGTGAGCACCGGAGACCCTATTCCTCTCTCAAGCAGGAGTGGGGAGGGGGCCTCGCAACGGGTTGCTTTAGCTTCCCCTCCCCCAGCCCCCCTCCCACCCAGGGCCTGAGAGAGAGCACCGCAGAGAGGGTGCTGGCCGTGCATGCAGCTGATCTGGTTGATCCCCAGCATCCCACATGGTCCCCCTGAGCACCTCCAGGAGTGATTCCTGAGTGCAGAGCCAGGAGTGCGGGAGTAAGCCCTGAGTTCCACCAGGTGTGCCCCAGACAAACCACCACCACCCCCCTACCACCATCACCACCTCTCCATCGCAGGCTCTGCCATCTGCTCAGTTTACGGGGACACTAACTATCTCACCTTTGACGGGAGGCACTTCCGCTTCATGGGCAAATGTACCTATGTCTTGGCCCAGTCCTGTGGCAACTTGACAGGTAGGGCCTGGGCTGGGGTTTGGGGCATCACTGGGGGGCAGAACAGGGGTGCGGGAGGGATGGGCACTGGGAAAGTCAGGGCTGGGAGGCTGCAGCCCAGCTGGGACTTTCTCAAGCTCACTCCTGGGGCCATGCTTTTGATGCCTCTCTCAGTTGCTCCCGGGCCAGCCTCTGACCCCGGGGAATTAACGGGGCTAGAAAAGTAATACAAGGGCCAGAGCGATAGTACAACAGGGAGGGCTCCTGGCTTGCTCGTAGCTGACCTGGATTTGATCCCCAGCACCCCATATGACCCTGAGCAGCACCATCAGGAGTGATTCCTGAGGGCAGAGCTGGGAGGAACTCCTGAACAACGCGTGACCCAAAACAAAACAAAGCAAAACAAAAAAGGTAGTCCACGAGCTAGAGACAGTAAGACAGGGAAGTTTTGGTCCGTGAATGTGGCAGACCCTGGTTCAATCTCTGACACCACGTTCAGTTCCCCAAGCACTCCCAGGAGTGATCCCTAAGCACAGAGCCAGGAGTAAATGAGACAGGGGTACCCAATAAAGGAGAGGGGAGAGAGAAGGGGGGAGAGAGAGGGAGGGAAAGAGAGGGAAAGGGAGGGAGAGAGACAGGGGAGGGAGAGAGAGGGAGAGGGAGGGGAAGAGAGAGAGAGAGAGAGAGAGAGGCTGTTATACATAAGGGAGTCCCGATCCGCAGGGTGGGGAGGGTTGGGGGGTCCCAGACTGGCAATGCTGGTTCCAGGAGAAAGAATCCAATTCCATCCTGGCTCTGCACTCTGTCCCCCCTCAACTGTCTCTGGGACCCTTCCCTACCCAGTGGGTAGGTGTCCCCTCGAGGGGCACCCACAAATGTTGGTTGGGTACTCTCCACCCTGTCTCTCCACCCAGAGCCGTTCTTCAGGGTGACGGCGAAGAATGAGGGGCGAGGGCAAGAAGGCATGTCCTGTGTCAGCAAAGTCTACGTGACCCTGCATGAGACAGCTGTCACCCTGCTCAAGGACCGGCGGGTGCTGGTGAGGCCCCAGGTGGTGTGCGGGGGCATGGGTCTCAGCCGTGGCCATTTCGATTTCTGCATGTTCTCAGGGGTCACTTATGGCCAATGCCCTTGGCAGAGCCCTGGGTCAGTTTCGGGATAGCAGAAAGGAAGGAGGGCGGGGAGCTAGGAATGCCGGCGGGCCCTTCTGGTGAGGATGACACACACGAGGGCTCCGCCTTCACCCCCAGATCTTTCTCTGCCTTCCCCTCTGGTGCCTTCCAGGTCGGGGGTCAGCTGGTCACACTGCCAGCCAATCCTTCCAGCGGCGTCTTCCTGTTCCCAAGCGGGCGCTTCGTGGAGCTGCAGACATCGTTTGGGGTGCGGCTCAGATGGGACGGCGACCAGCAACTGTATTTGAATGTGCCCAGGTGAAGCCCACCGGCCCCTGTGTGCCCAGGTTCCACGCGACCCCCTTCAGATGAGGCGCCGCCATGTCAGGGCAATCAGAACTGCAGGATGTGCACCCAGTGCTTTGGGAGTGTGCTAGAAGGAATTGCTCTAGCTTTTTCTTCTAGCACAAAAAAAGTCAGAGGAAATCTCTCTCTCTCTCTCTCTCTCTCTCTCTCTCTCTCTCTCTCTCTCTGTTTTTGTGTCACACCCAGCAGTGCTCAGGTGCTCAGGGCTTGCTTTTGATTTTGTGCTCTGCCTGGAGGACTTAGGGGACCATATGGGATGCTGGGATAGAACTTGGGTCGACTGCATGCACCCTGCCTGCTTTCTGGCCCCAGCAGAGGGGGCCTCTTCACCCCCATTTTCAAGATGTGGCTTTCTGGACAGACAAGACAGGGATAGAAAGAGTGAAGCGCAGGGGCAGGAGCGATATAGCACAGAGGGGAGGGTGATTGCCTTGCACACGGTCCACCCGGGTTCGATCCCCAGCATTCCCCTGGGTCTCCTGAGTACTTACCAGGAGTGATTCCTGAGTGTAGAGCTGGAGTAACTCTGGAGCACCACCGGGGATGTGGCCCAAAGGAAAACAGAAAGTGGGACTAGCAGATGCGGGCAGTGGGGGATAACTGGGTAGTTTTAGGGGTCCCAGGAGGTTTGCTGAGGCTGGATTCTGAGCAGGAGGGAGGGGGTGCTGTGAGGTCCTGGGCCCCTAACCTGGCATCTTGGTTACTTGTCCTTGCCTGTGTGTAACCACGCCTGGCAGTGCCTGGGGGTCACTCTTGATGGTGCTCACATGATGTCCAGTGCTGGCCACTGTGAGTCAGGCCTCCGGCACGCACAGTAGCCACTGAGCTTTTTCCCTGCCCCCCGCCCGCCTCCTGCCCACACCCCAACTCCCCCACAGCCCCGAGCTTGCTGACACCCCTCCTCACCTGCCCGGCCCCCAACCCTGGCCCTGTAGCACCTACGCTGGCAAACTCTGTGGCTTCTGCGGAAACTATGATGGAGACAACAGCAACGACCGCCAGAAGCCAGATGGCAAAATAGCGGCGGATGAGGAGGAGCTGGGGAAGAGCTGGCAGACAGTGGAAGATGAGGACAAGGAGTGAGGCCCCGGGGAGCATGTCCCCTCCTTCTTGTCTCCTCCCACGCCCCTGCACCCTGCCTTCTCCCATCCCCCACACCCCCAACCCTGGCTTCTCATCGCTCCTTAAAATGGAGGGGCAGAGAGGGGTCAAGTACCAGCTAGTCTTGGCTCTGAGGTTTTATTGGGGGGTCCAAGGGGGTCTCTAGCTCTCCTTTTGCTTTTTGGGCCACACCCGGCAGTGCTCAGAGCTAACTCCTGTCTCTGTGCTCAGAGTCACTCCTGGTGGGCCTCAGGGGACACTATGGGATGCTGAGACTAGAACCTTGGGTCAGCCGAGTGCAAGGCAAGCGTCCTCCCCGCTGTGTGGTCACTGTGGCCCTTCTCTTCTAGGTGTCAAAAGGGTCACGTGTCTCCTCCGTCCTGCAGCTTGGCCTTGCTGAGTCGCCTGTCGGGGCCCAAGATGTGCGGCCGGTTGGTGGAGGAACAAGGCCCCTTTTCGTACGGAGGAGGCCCCCCAGGGCCAGGCCAGGTTGAGCCGGGCTGGAGGGGAACCCTGGGGTCCCGCCCTCTGACCGCCTCTGCCTGGTCCCCAGGGCCTGCCTGCCACACGTGCCAGTCACCACATTCTTCAAGAATTGCCTATTCGACCTGTGCAACTTCCAAGGCATGCAGCAGATGCTGTGTACACACCTGGCGGCCCTGACGGAGACCTGCCAGGAGGCCGGCCTCGCCGTGAAGCCTTGGAGGGGGCCCGAGTTCTGCCGTGAGTGTGCCCTGCCCTGCTTTCCATCCAGGCTCTAGGGCTCCCCCAGGATAAGGTCACGTGGGCCTGACTCCCCTGGGGCCTGCAGCATTCCCCTGGGAATCTTGGTTTCCAAGCCCCCAGCCTCTTTCTTCTCTCCGCCACCGTGTGAAGGGGTGGGCGGCTATGGCCTTCTCCCCGCCCCCCACTTCCTCCATCACCCCCTTCTTCCAGCTCTGGGCTGCCCCGAGTTCAGCAAGTACACCCTGTGCGGCAAGTCATGCCCCAGCTTCTGCCACTCCAACCTCTCGGGTGTAAACTGCCGGGACCGCTGCACCGAGGGCTGCCAGTGTGAGCCGGGCTATGAGCTCAGCGGCCTCCAGTGCGTGCACTCCGGCCAGTGCGGGTGTATGGACCCCACCCGGGGCTACTTCAGGGTGAGTGGCAGCCAAGCCCCCTTGCATGTTCCTGCCTGCAGGGAGCGCCGTGGAGCGAGACAGAGCAGGGGGTGGGGGTGGGGAGGTGGGGGTGATACCGGACTGAGGTTCGAGTGATCATTTCCTTGTCTCCTTTATTGGGGTGTGGGGGGGCCACACCTGGCGGTGCTCAGGGCTTCCTCCTGGCTTTGCCTGCAGGGATCACATTCTATCACTCTGGTCCCTAAACATTTTTTTTTTTGGTTTTAGTTTGGGAGTCACTTCTGGCGGTGCTCAAAACTTATTCCTGGCTTTGTGCTTGGGGATGGGGTTCAGGGGACTGTGGGGTGCGGGGGCTGGAACCTGGGCTAGCGGCGTGTAAAGCGGGCACCCAGATCCCAGGGGTTCCTGGGGATACCAGGGTGGGAAAGCCAGTCGATCCAGAGTCTGCTGCTCCACCTGGGGTCTTGGAGGTCTCCGGGGGTCCGAGCTGGGAGTCGCCCTCTCCCCTTTCTCCGACCTACAGGTAGGGGAGCAGTGGTACAAGCCCGGCTGCAGACAGTTGTGTGTGTGCGAGGCCAAGGAAGACATCCGCTGCTTCCCAGCGCAGTGCTCGGAGCACGAAGTCTGCAACCTGCAGCAGGGCGAGTACGGCTGCCACCCCCAAGGTGAGCAGGCTGGGCGTGGCCTGTCCAGGACCCCCGGGAGGGGGTTGTCGGGCCTGGGTGTGGCCTCGGTGCTCAGCATGAGTGGGTCTCGCCTCCTCCCGCAGGGTATGGCGTCTGCACCATCTCTGGAGACTCCCATATCCAGACGTTTGATGGGGCCCTGAGCCACTTCTTGGGCACCTGCACCTACGTGCTCACCAAGCCTTGCAGTGCCAGGGTCTTCGAGAGCCACTTTGTCGTGAGCGCCTCCAGCGAGTTCCGCTTGGGGAACCAGGACACCACGTTCGTCAGCGCCGTGCACGTGGAAGTCTACAAGGTCAAGATCTCGATGCTCAAAGGCTCCAGGCTCATGGTGCGTGTGCGCGCGCGCTCCCCTGCGCGCGCACTTTCTCTGTCTGTGCTCCCCTACTCACGAACTCCTCTGTGCGTGTGCTCGTTCTCCTGTGCATATGAGCCCTTCCCCGGCACTTGCTCCCTGTCCCTGCTCACGCGCTCGCTGCCTTGTGCGCGTGCTCCCTTCCCCTGTGCACATGCTCCCTTCCCCTGAGCACGTGCTCCCTGCCCTGCACACGTGCTCCCTCCCCCTGCACGTGCTGGCTCCCTGCGCGCACTCCTCTGCGTGTGCTCGCTGCACTGCGTGCGCGTGCCACCCTATCCGGCTTCCAGGCAGATCCAGTCCCCCAGATTCCTAAAGCTCCCCCCACCCGCTCCGGGCCCCTGGGTTTGCGCGGTGCCCAGGCTGGCCCTCAGCGGCGTCCTCCGCCTCCAGCTGGACGGCCACCGGGTGCTGCCGCCCCTCGGGCTGCTCCAGGGTCGCCTGCTCGTGCGACTCAGCGGCGTCTTCCTGCGCCTGTCCACCGACTTTGGGCTCCAGGTGCGCTACGACGGGAACCACCTGGTGGAGGTGAAGGTGCCCTCGACCTACGCGCACCGTCTCTGCGGGCTGTGCGGTAAGAGCCCTGTCCCCCTGCCGACTGTGGGGATCCCAGGGCTGGCGGGCATCCTGCTGGGGGGGGGGGCTAGGGGCAGAGTGGAGGGTGGGGGTGGGTAGGGGTGCAGCTGCTGGGGCCTCCCTTGAGCCTCTCCGCCCCCGCAGGGAACTATAACAACGAGGTTCTGGATGACAACGAGCTCGCTGACTGGGACCACCCCTGGAAGATCCAGGAGGCCTCTGAAGCTGGGTGAGCCGAGGGGGAGGCCGGGGGAGTGGGTCCTGAGCGATGGCGGACAAACGGCATCCGGAGTGGATGGAATGTGACATCAGAGGCCGGAGCATGCTGGAGGTCTGGGTTCCATCCCTGGCCCCGCCCACAATGGTCTCCCTCAGCACCCGGCACAGAGCAGCGCCTCCTGCCGCCGCAAATGCAGGAAAAGGAAAACCAGAGAAGGCGCTGGGCCTGGTGTCCACACTGCGGTGTGATCAGCTGGGTGATCGTCCTTTTAGAGGGACCCCCCCTTCCTGCCCTGCAGCTCCGGTTGTGTCTGCTGCTGTCCTCGGGACCCCCCATTTCTCTGCACTCTGGACCCCACTCCGAGACGTTAGTTTCCTCCTGACCAAGCTCGGGATTTCCCTTCTCTCCCTCCAGCTGCTACACCACCATCAAGTCGCAGAGTTGCATGGAGAAAGAGAATTTAGAACCCTGGGAAAAGAACTGTGCCATCCTACTGAACCCCCAAGGTGCATGCTCTGTGCCCCTGGGGGCCTCTCCTGGCCAGAGGAAGGAGGCAGAACAGCAGGAGGGGGGTCGGCTGTGGGAGAAGCAGCGCCAGGCCTCAGGGGAGCACTGATGTACCAGAGTGTCTCCAGCAGTCAGTGCTAAAGAACTACAGCTTTAAAAATAAATGAAGGGGGGGGGGGGGGCTGGAGCAATAGCACAGCGGGTAGGGTGTTTTCCTTGCATGCAGCCAACCCGGGTTCGATTCCCAGCGTCCCATATGGTCCCCTGCACTGCCAGGAGTAATTCCTGAGTACAGAGCCAGGAGTAACCCCTATGCATCGCTGGGTGTGACCCAAAAAAAGCAAAAAAAAATTAAATAAATGAAGGGACTGGAGCCATAGCACAGCAGGTAGGGCGTTTGCCTTTCACGCGGCCGACCCGGGTTCAATCCCATATGGTCCCCTGAGCACTGCCAGGAGTAATTTCTGAGTGCAGAGCCAGGAGTAAACCCCGTGCATCATAGGGTGTGACCTAAAAAGCACTGTAGTACTGTCCTCCTGTTGTTCATCAATTTGCTCGAGCTGGCACCAGTAACGTCTCCAATTGTGAAATTTCTTGTTATAGTTTTTGGCATATCGAATACGCCATGGGGAGCTTGCCAGGCTCTGCCGTGAAGGCAGGATACTCTTGGTAGCTTGCCGGGCTCTCTGAGAGGGACAAAGGAATCGAACCCGGGTTGACCGCGTGCAAGGCAAATACCCTGCCCGCTGTGCTATTGCTCCAGCCCAATAAATAAATAAAAATAAAGAGGGGCCGGAGTGATAGTACAGGGGGTAAGGCGTATGCCTTGCACATACTGTTGACACGGGTTCGATCCCCGGCATCCCATATGGTCCCCCAAGCACTGCCGGGAGTGATTCATGAGTATAGAACCAGGAGGAACCCCTGAGCATCGCCGGATGTGACCCCAAAAGCAAAATAAATAAACAAAGAAATAATTTTTTTTTTTGCTTTTTGGGTCACACCCGGCAATGCTTAGGGGTTACTCCTGGCTCATGCACTCAGGAATTACTCCTGGCGGTGCTCGGGGGGACCATATGGGATGCTGGAAATTGAACACGTGTCAGCCATGTTGGCTGCGTGCAAGGCAAACGCCCTACCCACTGTGCTATCACTCCAGCCCCCGAAGAAATAAATTTTAAGGAAGAAATAAAAAATACCTGGTTTTGGGACCGAGAGATAGGCAGCATTTGGGGTGCATGTTTGTGGGTTGGGCCCTAGCATTGCATTGCAACCTGGTTGACCAGGAATTGCGGGGGGGGGGGGGGGGGGAGGGGCAGCCCTGGGCCTCCTGAGCACTATTGAGGAGCACCTCCCTTTTTTTAAATAGAGGTTTTGCTCTCGAGTTTCTTGCCCCACTTTCCCAGGAGGTTCTGCCCCCTTCTCAAACTTTCCTCTTCCGTTTCCTCCTCCAGGACCCTTCTCACCGTGCCACCAGGTGGTGTCCCCGAAGGCCAGCTTCTTCAACTGTGCGACAAGCCAGTGTGGAAGCAAAGGCAGCCCCCTGGCATTGTGCCGCTCCCTGCAGGCCTATGCCACTCTTTGTGCTTCGGCTGGCCAGGTCCTGACCTGGAGGAATAGCTCGGCCTGCCGTGAGTGGCCCCTGCGTCCCCCAGAACCCTCTGCCCCTCTCTGTGCTCCCGTCTCTCAGCCCCCAACCTCAGCTTGCCTCCCGGCCTGGGAGCCTCCATCAGATTCTTCCCTCACCCCCCACCCCAGAGCTTCACCCCGTGTGCTGATTGCCCCCATTTCTCCTCTTTCTGGGCCCAGGCTGTCCCTATTTTTCTGCTTTTCTTTTTTCCTTTGGTTTCTGGGCTACACTGGGCACTGCTCAGGGGTTACTCCTGGCGGTGCTCAGGGGACCCTATATGGTGTCAGGGATCAAACCTGGGTCAGCTGCATTCAAGGGTAGCACCTTACCTGCTCTTCTGTCTCTCCAGCCCCATCTTCTCCCTCCCTTCCTCCCTCTCTCTTTCACTCTCTTTTCTTCCTTCCTTCCTTTCTTTCTTCCTTTCTTTCTTTTTCTCTTCCTTCTTTCCTTCCTTTTTCTTTCTTTCTTTTTTTCTGCTTTTTGGGTCACACCTGGCGATGCTCAGGGGTTACTCCTGGCTCTGCACTCGGGAATTACTCCTGGCGGTGCTCGGGGGACCATATGGGATGCTGGGAATCAAACCCAGGTCAGCCGCGTGCAAGGCAAATGCCCTACCCGCTGTGCTATTGCTCCAGCCCCTCCTTCTGTTTTTTTTTCTTTCTTTTCTTTTTTCCTTCACACACGCCAGGTAGTGTCCCTGAGCCTTCCCGTCCCCTGTCCTGGGTCTCAGTTTGCATCGGACCCACCTTCACTGCTCCGTGACGGTCCCTCACGAGGGTCCTCTGAGCATCCCCTGTGCACCCAGTTAGAGTCCTGGTCCAATGGCTTAGATGCCCACATCCTTTGCTGCCCAGGGGCTTGGGTGGACCCCACAGGCGACCTTGACCGGCCCTGGACCTTCCAAATGCTAGTTTCTTCTTAGCCCTGCGGTGCCCGTCGGGCAGCAGATACACCCCCTGCGCCAACCCCTGCCCGGCCACCTGCCTCGACATGTTCTCCCCGACGGACTGCAACCCCGCACTGCCCTGTACCGAGGGCTGTGAGTGCCAGAAAGGCTACATCCTGAGCGGCACCTCCTGTGTGCCCCTCAGCCAGTGCGGCTGCGCCCAGGGGCCAGACTCCTACCATGCGGTGAGAGGGGTGGCGGGGGGGGGGGGGGTCTGGCGGGGGGCAGGCAGCTGGAGAGAGGGAAGCAGCCTTGGGAGGAGGCGGGGGAGTGGGGGCGGGACTCGGAGCTGCCCCACTGATGCCTGCGCTCCGCAGGTCGGGGAAAGCTGGTACTCGGATGAGACATGCTCCAAGTTCTGTTCCTGTTCCGCATCCAACAATGCATCTTGCCACCAGGCCTCCTGCGGCCGGAACCAGCAGTGCTGGGCCCTGGACGGGCTCACTCGCTGCCGGAACTCATGTAGGAGGCTCGGGGCTACAGTCATCCCCCCAGTCTCCCTCTCCGCCCCCCCCCCCCATCATTAGTGCCCCCCCCCCCGCGAGATGCTTCCAGACCAGGGGCAGTTGTCACAGCTGTGGGGAAGGGCTACTGCTTTTTTTTGTTTTTGGGCCACACCTGGCAATGCTCAGGGGTTACTGCAGGCTCTGCGTTCACCCCCAATGGTACTTGGGGGACCATATGGGATCGAACCCAAGTCGGCCTCTTGCAAGGCAAGCGCCCTACCTGCTGGACTATCGCTTCGGTCCCGGGGGGCTTCTTCTTGGGATGTATTTATCTCTCCTGTAGCAACCTAGAACTTAGAGGGGGACTTTGCTTCCCTGGCTGAAGCGTCCCCATTCCTCCCCCGAGCCTGCCCTGCTTTCGCCGCATCTTCCCTGGAAGTGGGTAGGTAGAGAGCGGCTGGGTGCGGCAGGTGGGACGGCTCCCCAGTGCCTCCCCCCACCCTGCTTTCCTTCCAGACGTGGGCGTATGTAGCAGCGTCCTGGAAGAGCACTACTACTACGTGAGTTTTGACGGCACCCGACACGCACTGGGCGGCAACTGCTCCTATATCCTGGCCATGAGCTGCCACTACACGGCCAACATGCCTTTCTTCAAGATTACGAGCCAGAACGGGCCACTGGAGGGCGCCGCCTGCGCCTTCATCCAGCAAATCATGGTGCAGGCCTTTGACCTCCAGATCACGATGCAGAAGAACCACCGGGTGCTGGTGTGTTGGGCACCGCGCCCGGAGGGGTGGGGCGGAAGCGGGGCCACCGCCCATCACAGACCGCCCACCTCCCCCCAGATCAACGACACGCAGGTGCAGCTCCCCTACAAAGACCAAGGCGTCCGATTGGAAGGCGAGTTCCCCAAGCAAAGATTCAGCGTCATAGCCACTAACGACAGCACCCAGCTGACGCTCCCCATCGGACTGATCGTGAACTTCAAGTCCGACGGCAGCTACTTGCAGATCCAAGTACCTGGAGCCTATTACAAGAAAGTAAGCCCTCAGGGAATCCACCCCCAGGGGTCCCCCACCTAGGGGCAGGTGGCGACAGAACTTATCTTCCTCCTCATTGCAGGGGGTGGGGGACCCACCTCTCTGCACGTCACAGTGCCCCCTGCCCCCAGGTCTGCGGCATCTGCGGGAATTATAACGGGGAGCAGGAGGATGAACTGCTGATGCCCAGTGATGAGCTCGCTCAGAACGATGCGGAATTTGTCACCAGTTGGCAAGATAAGGAGTTCAGCCTGAAGTAATGGTCCCCAAGTCGCCACTTTTGATCCTGAGTGGGGATTTTCTACTATGGCTAGATTCTCTACTATGCTTTTCGGGGGACAGTTTGGGGGTGGGGGTGCTTTGGGTTCTAGACTGAGCTTGAGAAAGGACTTCCTGTCCAGGGCTGGAGAGACACAGACCTCCTCTGGCTTGGGTGGAAGTGTCGTGAACAGGGGGCTCACAGTCGACCCCCAACACCACATAGGGTCCCTTGAGCACTGCTAGGAGTAGCCCCTGAGTACCACTGAACATGGTTAAAAAAACATAAGAAGGAAAGGAAGTTTCTACAGAAGTTGCCGCAGGTTGGCTGGGGCTCAGGCAGGTTCTAGCTGAAGCCAAGAATGGGGTGTTCGGAGTCATCTAGAGGGCCCCCCCATCATGGGACAGCCCAGCGGGGCTGCGGCTGTCCAGGTGAGGACCCCTTTCTCCTTCCAGTTGCCCATCAAATGCCCAGAAGGCGCAGGAGGAAACGACGCTGCAGCCCGAGACCAGCTGCTGGCAGGCTGACCTGTCCAGGGCCCAGGAGCAGTGCCAGGCGGCCTTCCAGACTCCGGCCTGGGTCAACTGCTCCATCCACATGAGTCTCGAGCCTTACCTGCTGCACTGCGTCCACAGCCTCTGCCGGTTCGGAGGCCTGAATCAGGCCCTCTGTGAGTCTCTGCAGGCCTTTGAGGCCGCCTGCCAGGCACAGGGGCTCAAGCCCCACACCTGGAGGAACAGCAGCTTCTGCCGTGAGTGTCCCGCTTGCCCGCTGTCCCTCTGGGGCAGTCTGGGAAGCTCACTGGGGCCTCTGGGCCTGTGTCCAACCGTGTCAGGGCCACGCCCAGCAGAGTTCTGGGTTCTGGCCTGTCCTCGGGCTCTGTGCCTAGGGGTGGTTCCTGTGGTGCTCAGGGGACCATGTGGTGCCAGGGACCCAACCCAGGCCTCCCACATGCACGGCCCATTGTGTGATCTAGGGCTCACCATGGGGGGTCTTTCTCAGAACCTCTTGTTTTTGGTTGTCTGATGTGTTGTTTGTTTGGGAACCATGCCCAGTGATGCTGGGGGCTGGCTCCTGGTGCTGCACTCAGGGATCGCTTTTGAAAGGACTCGGGGGGACCCTGTGCAGTGCTGGGGATCGAACCTGGGTTGGCCATGGGCAAGACAAGTGCCCTTTCGGCTGTCCTCTCTCTCTGGCCTGTTCTCTTTGTCTTCCTACCTGGAAGCATTTTCTGGTTGTTCGCAACCTCTGCGGCTCTTCTGAGCCCTCCTGTTTTCTCGCTGCCCCCACCTCTGTGTCCTGCACTGAGCCAGGGCCTGGGTGGGTGGAGAGTTTCTTCCCCCTTTCTGGGCCCAGAAACCTGGCCCATAGCTTCGACTCAGTAAACGTTTGGCCAAAGGAGCAGGCGGGAGGGTCCTGTTGGCCACATCCATCCCTAGTCTGGATTCTCCAGTCCCTGCCCCACTTTAGAAAGAAAGTCCTCCTGGGGCCGGAAAGACAGCACAGTGGGTAGAGCGTTTGCCTTGCATGCGACCCGAGCCGGGTTTAGTCCCCGGCATCCCAAATGGTCTCCTGAGCATCTCCAGGAGCGATTCCTGAGTGCAGAGCCAGGAGTAACCCCTGAGCATCGCCAGGTGTGGTGCCCCCTCCCCCAATAAACACAAAAAGGAAATAGCCCGTCTGCTGCTGTCTCCTTACTCCCTCTCCCCTCGTCCCCCCAGCTCTGGAGTGTCCCGCCCACAGCTCCTACACCACGTGCATGGAGCCCTGCGTGCCGGCATGTGGGAAGTCCAAGTGTACAACACAGCCTCAGCCCGGGGCCAGCTGCCGGGAGGGCTGCATGTGCCAACCCGGTTTCCTGCTCAGCAAGAAACTGTGTGTTCCTGAGAGTCACTGTAGCTGCACGAACCCAGAGGGCAGGCATCTACCAGTGAGTGGAGCCCACATGTGAGGATGAGGGGTCCTCCAGCCCACCCTGAGGTGTAGTGTAGGCTGGGTAGTCTCCCTGAATTGGGGGTGAGTGGTTGATTTCAGATCCTGAGTCCCTAATAGCCCAGGGGCACGGCAGGGTTTGGCAGCAGGAGCTGAGCCCTGGTTTGACCTGAGTGGAGCCCTCAAGGCCCCAGGGGCCTCTGTCACCCCTGTTTCTTCCTCTGGAGGCTGAGTCCCCTTTCTCCCAGGACGGCCTCGGTCAGTGGAAGGGATGAAGGTGTTTGTCTCACTTGTGGCCCGCCCTGGTTGGGTCCCCCGGCACCACAGGGAGTGACCTCCAGGCACCTAAACAAAATAAAATGGGGGAGGGGTGGAGAGAGAGGACAGCAGGCAGGGTGCCAGTCTGGCACGCAGTGGACCCAAGCCCCATTCCTCACAGGGTTCCTTCCCCCAGCACCCCAGGAATGACCAGAGTACAGAGCCAGGAGTAAACCCTCAGCACCACCGTGTGTGGCCCCCAATCCAGACCGGAACCCCATGGGCCCGAGGGGCTGCCCCAGGTGGACGAGCACAGGTGTCCCATCACTGCCCCTAAGCCGAACCTTGAAGCCAGTGGGACGGTCCAGGCGAGGCTGCGGGTGCCGGATGCCGGGGAGAGTCGCCCCTCGTGCCGCCTCAGCTGTGTCCCTTTCCTGCAGGGTGGGCAGATGTGGGTGTCCAAGGACTGTGCCCAAAGCTGCATGTGCACCGCGGGGACCCTCCACTGCGAGCCCTTCTCGTGCCCGTTTGGCTCCCACTGCCAGGCCGTCCCCCAGGAAGGAGGCAGCTGCAAGCCGGACCGTAAGGGATACGCCACGCCCCAAGGCCTGTGCCCGCTCTCGCTCTCTGAGCCAGTCTCGGCCGCCCCCTCAAGGGCCAGAGCTGGGGGATCAGAGGAGCACCCCTACACTTTTCACTTGGGGCGAGGAAGCGGCCGAGCTCACCCAGGGCTAGCAGGAGAGTGTAAGGGGACTGGGGAGCACCAGGCCCCTCATCTCAGTGCCCCCCCCCTCCCTGCAGAGTTGCAGCAGTGCTCGGTGTTCGGGGACTCCCATTACCTGACATTCGATGGTCTCCTCTACACCTTCCCTGGCCGCATGACCTACACCCTCCTCAGGACGGTCAGCAATCTGCCCCGCGGCCTGGAACCCCTAGTGGTGGAGGGGCGGAACCATGCAGAACCGAGGAACGTGCACACCCTGCAGGAAGTGACCGTTCGCATCCACGACTACGTCATCCAGATGCAGAGCAACCTGCAGCTGGTGGTATGCACAGGCCGCACACTCGGGGGTCCCGGGAATGCCACTGCAGGAGTCAGGTCCAGGCACCCTGCACCCCAGGGACCGGTGGGTGGGGGTCATTCAGGCGCTGAAGGGGGTGCAGGGGGTGGGCAGGAGTAGCGCCTGTGACATGTGGGTGTAGGGGGACACGGGCCGGGCACTGGGGGGCTTCTGCAGGGCAGCGTGGGGAAAGTGCTGGACGTCTCATCCCAAGACCCAGGCGGGTGGGGGCCCCGCCGGCCACTGGCCGCCTCCTGGCAGCTCCCACATCTCCCTCTAGGTGAACAATCAAAGGATGACCGTCCCCTTCAAGCCCAGCAAGTACCTGCAGGTCAGCATGCGGGGCCACCGCATGTACCTGGTCACCAGCTTTGAGCTGATGGTCAGCTTCGACGGGAAAGACAACGCAGGTGGGCGGAGCGGCGATGCTGGGAGAGCCCCGCAGCCCCGGGCTCCTGGAGGCGACGCTCACGGGGCCACCCCCTCCCGCAGTCATCTCCCTGCCCACCACGTACCAGGACCTGGTGCAGGGTCTGTGCGGCAACTTCGACAAGGACAAGTGGAACGACTTCACCACCCCCAACGGCACCCAGGTGCAGGACGCCAATGTCTTCGGCAGCAGTTGGGAGGTGAAGATGAGCCCCGGAGGGCTGCGTCGCCTGCCCAGGTGTGCCCCCCGCACTCCAAGCAGCCCCTCCATCGCCCCCTCGCCTCTCAGTGAGCCCCCTGTACCCCTCTTTCCGCTGGCCCTGGTCCTCAGCCCTGGCCTGTCTCTGCAGGGCCATCAGGAAGGAGGAGGAGGAGGGCCCGGCTCTGTGCCACGGGGACCAGGGGGCGCTCACCAACGGCTCCCACGCCTGCGGTGTGCTGCTCGACCCCCAGGGGCCATTTGCCGCCTGTCACCGTGTCGTGGCCCCAGAGCCCTTCCAGGAGTGAGTCTGGGCCACCCCAGGGAGGCCTTTCTCTAGCCCCTGCCACTGGGGTCAGGCCGCTGCTCTCCGCCTGTGGTGCCCCCACCCCCCCCAATCCCTGCATCCCATGACACCCTACTTTTCATATGTATTCCCAAGCACACCCGCATACCTCCCCCACACAACCATATATCTCTCCGACACCCCCATGCCCGCACAGGCAACCACACCCCAACCAGACACGCCACACACCTGTACATGCCTGCACCCAGACACCCACAGAACTCACGGCCCCAGTTACCTCCTCACCAGATACCCACACACACCCCCACAGACACCCCAAACACCCCTATACTGCAGGCACCGCCACACTCCAGACCCCCCACAGGCCCCCACAGATACCCCCACAGACACCTCGAACACCCCTATATACCATGGACACCACCACACCCCAGACCCCCACAGACATCCGAAACACCCCTATACCATGGACACCGCCACACTCCAGACCTGCCACAGGCCCCCCCACAGACACCCTGAACACCCCTATACCGCGTACACTGCCACACTCCAGGTCCCCACAGACAGCCCCACAGACACCCCACACACCCAAGCACCCAAACACCCCTATATCAGACACCGCTAAACTCCAGACCCCCACAGAGACCCCACAGACACTCCTGCAGACACCCTGAACACCCAAACACCCCTTTACCATGGATACCGCCACACTCCAGAACCCCACAGAACCCTAGACTCCAAAGACATCTCCCACAGTCACCCACACCCCGCATTCACCCCACATGCTCCATGTCCCACACTCCTCGCACCCCTATATTCACATGTCCACAGACATCCCCTAAACCCCGCAAACACCCGCTCCCGTCCCCAAAATCACAGCCCTCACCTGTAGATACCCCCTGACAGCCCTGTGCCCCTTAGGCACTGCGCGCTGGCCCTGTGTGCCCGCCGAGACCCGGGGCTGCGTGAGGAGCTCCGCTGCCGGCTCCTGGGCGGCTACGCCAGCACCTGCCAGGAGGCAGGCAGCACCCTGGGCGGCTGGCGGGAGCACACACGCTGCGGTGAGGCTCCAGCCCCGCCCCCACCACCCTGTGCCCCTTGGGCTCTTCCTGGCCCCCCATCCACACCCCAAGCCCAAGGAACCGGGTGTGGCCAGAGTGATATCGCAGTGGGGAGGGTGTTTGCTGGCATGCGACCCACCCAGGCACGATCCCTGGCACCCCATAGGGTCCCCCGAGCCCACCTGAGCACAGAGCCAGGAGTGTTCCCTGAGCACTGCCATGTGTGCCCCCCCAATAAAGAAGGTCTCCTGGCTGCCTCCTGCCCTGGGTTGGGGTGACCTACTTGGTCCACCCGCCCCACTCACCCAGGCTCCCCCCACAGCTCTGGCCTGTCCAGCCAACACTGTCTACCGGAGCTGCATGAGCCCCTGCCCGGCTTCCTGTGCCAGCCTGACGGCCCCCAGGACGTGCACGGGCCCGTGTGTGGAGGGCTGCGCCAGCCTGCCCGGCTACGCATACAGTGGGGCCCAGAGCCTGCCTCGAAGCCGCTGCGGCTGCACCAGGGACGGCCGCTACTTCCAGGTCCGGACTGAGAAGCCCCCGGGCGGGGGCGGGGGGCGGCAGGGCAGTCCCAGGGAGCACCCTCCTCCTGGTCCGTCGCCCTCTCTAGCAGGGTGAGAGTGTCGTGAGCGAGGACTGCTCCCAGCGCTGCACCTGCGCCCGCCCGGGGCTCCTGCTCTGCCGGCCCCTGCGCTGCGGCCCGGGCGAGACCTGCACACTGGGCAACCTCACCCGGGGCTGCTTCCGGGGTGAGCCCCCCCCACTGCAGGGAGAGCACCCCGGAGCCCGCCCCCTCCTCCCCTGGCCCAGAACACTCGCTGAGCCCACTCCTCTCCCTGCTGTGGATGGTTCAGACTGGGTCGGCCCCAGGGTCCGGGGGAGAGGGGGCCCTGAGCCCAGTTTCCAGAATCCTCTCTGCCCCCCAAACCCACACTCAGCTGGGAGATGCAAGCGACTTTCCCAGCACCAGGGAGAAAGGCAGACAGGGGTCCCTGGCCAGTTGCAGTCCCCCGACCTGCTCTTCCCCAGGGTCTGTGCGCCCCACCCAACCCCCTTCCATTCTTCCAGAGAGCCCGTGTCTGCAGAACCCCTGTCAGAACGATGGGCGGTGTCTGGAGCGGGGAAACCGCTTTGTCTGCGAGTGTGAACCGGGCTATGGGGGAGACCTCTGCTCGGAGCCTGGGGACAGGCCACACCCCCCAGAGCCAGGTGAGGACACACCTGGTCCCCTTATCACCTTCCCACACCTGTCGCTCATAACAGGAGTGAGGTGGAGGTGGGATCTGGAACCTTGTCTTAAACCGCCCCTGCCCCACCCTCAGCACCCCAGTCTCGTGGGGCCCCCGTTCCTGCTGCTCCCAGTCCCCAACTCCCTGCTCTGGGCCAGGGGCTCCCTCTCCACCTTTTATCTTTTTCTTTGGATTGGGGTGGGCGTGTTCTGGCACCCGAGTCGAGTTGCACTTCCCAAGGCCAGAGGGAGCCCCAAACCTGTATTTATTGTTCCGTTTGTTTGGGGGTCACACCCAGCAGTGCTTAGGGCGTATTCCTGGCTCTCTGCTCAGGGATCTCTCCTGGTGGGGCTCAGGGGGTCATATGTGGTTCTGGGATCAAACTTAGGTCGGCCACGTGCAAGGAAAGCGCCCTCCCTGTTGTACTATTGTTCCAACCCTGAGATACGCATTTTTATTAGTGTTTTATTATGGGGTGGGGGGGGGTGGGCCATACCACACCGGTGGTGCTCAGGGCTTACTCCTGGCTCTACTTAGATTTGAACCTGGTAAGGGAGGCTATAGGCATCACCAGGAGCAGACCGGGGTCTGCTGTACGCGGACGAAAAGCCAAGGTACTATCTCCAGCTCAAGAACTGCATCTGAGCCAGCTCCCCAGTTGGTTAAAATGCAGAGAGGAGTTTCACGGTTCCTGGGAGAAGCCCTGGACCGGCTGGAGAGCTAGGCCCGAGGTCAGGCTCTCGCCTTGCAGAGGTGACCCAGGTTGGATTCCTGACACCACATATGGTCCCCTGAGCATCACAAGGGGTGAGCCCTGAGCACAGAGCCTGGCATTTCGGGGCACACAGACCCTTGGGTGGCAACTGAGGGTGTGGTGTGTCTGCTCTCACCGCTTCCTATACCACGGCTGCACCCCAGACATGTCTAACTTCGTGCCCATGGGGCTGGGAACGCTGGTGCTGATGACTGCGTTGGTGCTGGCCCAGCTGTGTATCTCCAGCATGAGGAGGAAGAGGATGCAGTGAGCCTTGCAGGAAGGGGGTGGGGGGACCCTGGGACCAGCTCCCCAGTCTGCCCTGGCGGGGCTATTGCCATACCTCCAGGCCGGGGCTGCGCGTGCTGACTCAAGTTCCCTGCTTTGTCCCCAGGTATTGGTTCCGGGTGAGCCCTCGCGCAGTTCTCAACGGGTCTCCAAAAAGGCATCGAGAAAATAAAAGTTATTTTTGAGATGTGTGAGGGTGGTGGAATAGCCCGAGAGGGAGATGGTCGCGGACGGCGAACAGGACCTGGGGCAGGTCCTTGAGGAAGCCTCGGAGACTCTGAGTGACCCTCCAGGCAGCCAGGGAAAGGTGAGGGGAATCCGGGGTCTCCCCAGACACTAGCTCTGGGCAGTGGCTGAGGAGGGCGAGGTGACCTCTGCAGAGGTGAGTGGGCCCGGCCCCTGTGGGGAACACTTGTCTCCTGTGCTGACCCGTGCCGACAGGGACACCCACACCTCACCTGGAAGCCAACGGGGGGTACAGCTCATCTGCAGCTCAGGCTGGACAGTCCTCAGGAGCCCGGGGGCGGGGGCTTCCTGTGGTTTCTGTGTTCTACGGGGTGGGGTGTGGGGGTGGCAGGGATGTGACTCATGGCTCAAGGGTCCCCAGGCCCCTTCTGGTGATTCTTAACCCACCAGGCTGGTGTCTCAATGCGAGAACCCGAAGATGTGTTGCCGAAGCCTGCGGAACTGAGGGATGGAGCCCAGGCCACCTCCGAGGGTCCCAGCAGGGCTCGGGGAAGCCTAGGGGGTTCCGGGAATGAAACTGGGGGCCCCTCATTGCTCTGTGCTGGCTTCGCCCTCTTGCTGGGTTTCTAAGGAAAGGAGAGTGGCCAGCTGGGAGAGCCAGGACAGGAGACAGTGGATTCCAGAAAGGCCTCCGGAGCTGCTGCTCCTCCAGCTCAGCTTCCTTAAACGTGACCCGGCTTGGGTGGGAAGGGCCCCAGGAAGGGAGGGGTGCCCCTGGCAGGCTCCCCGGCCCGGCCTGGCGTAGCTTTCTCTTCCTTAGCTGGGGGCAGCTGGGTGTGGGGGAAGTTGTCGGGGGGTGTGGAACGGGGCAGGCCCTGGTATAACCTGGGGGCCAGCGTCCCCCACACATGGACCCTTCACACGCTCTCCACCTGTCGTTTCCCGGCACCCAAGGTCACCTTATCCGGCCTCAATACAGACTGATCAGGGCAAGGGCGGTGGCATCAAGTCTAGAGACCCCCCCCCACATCCTCCCAACAGGACCGAATCCCTACCAGCCCTCCTTGGGGTACAAAGCCCTGGCGGGGGGAAGGGGGTAGGAATCACTAGGGGCCCAGGAGGGCAGGAAAGGCCTGAAGTCGGGGACAGTCACTACTCCCAGGAAAGAGGTAGGAACCATGCATGATAGGGGACCTGGAATTCCCCCAGGGAGGGGCAAGTGAGATGCAGAAATGAGGGAGAGACCATGGGTGAGAAGTGTGGGGCGAAAGATCAGAAAATCGCAAGAGGGACCCCGGCCTGGCTTCCTGTCTGGGAGGAGCAGCCCTGGCGAACACCCAGCTGCTCGAAGAACCTGCCGGAGCAGCACCCTGAAAGGGGAATTGTCCGCCCGCTGGCCCTGCCCACCCCCCACTGAACCAGCTCCAGTCACAACATCTGGCCCACATCTGTCTCCTTGCTGACCGGGTGGCCCCCTGGCACCCGCTCTGGGCCCAGAGGGCAGGGTGTGATCCCAGGGCCCCCCATTCCCACAGCCCCTCGCCAGGGCTGGGCACCAGCCCCTCCCCGGAGGTGCCCCAGGCTCTTGGCAGAACCATCTGGAGCCGTTAGAGCCCATGACTCATCCCCCTGCCCCCACCCACCGCACCCCACTGCACCCAGGGGCTGGGAACCAAGCACCCAGCCCTTCACAGCTGTCAGGGCTCCCACCCCCAGACCCTCCGCTGCTCCACAAACACATTCCACCCCTCCCAGTTCCCAGTCAACCCAGAGCCAGGACACTTCCCATTTTCCTTTATTTATACAAAAAAAGACTTTTAAATATAATTTAAGGGCCCCTCCAAGCACCAGCGTCTGTCTCAGGCTCCTCCCACCAGCAATTCACCCCTCACCCCCCTCATGGACACAGCTTGGGGGGACTCGGGGCACAGGGACACGGGGCTGGGGGTGACCAAGGCACTGTTGGGGGGCATGGACAAGGATGGGTCCCTGTTTCAGCCTGGGCAGAGGCGGTGATGGTGAAACGGGGCCCCCCAAAACACCAACGTTCTGACGGGGGGCAATGGGAGAGAAGAAAGGGGTCAGGGAAGAAAGGCAAAGTCAGACCGAAACGAAAAATAAAACTCAAAAGCCTTCAATATGAAGACGGCAGAGGGGCGGGGGCATTTACAAGGACGCGAGTGGGGTAGGGGCGGCAGCAGGTGGGGGACCCCCAACCTGGTGACCTGGTCGCCGGGCGGGGCGCCCCTTCCTGCCTCCAGGCCGCGGTCCACTTGGGGTTTCCAGCGGCCCCGCTTCTGTCTTTGGTCTCGAGAGTCTTCGGGCCGGGCCCTTCGGGGTGAGGGGCCCGGGCAGAGGTGATGGGGAGCGGGCAGGTTATGGCGCTTCCTTCCCCTGTGCGGTGGGGTGGGGGTTCCCTGCGGGGGGCACACGCAACTCCCCGGGGTCCCATCCCCAGGCCCTGTGTCTCCGAACTGCCATCCCCACATTCAAAGTGCAATCCAGTGGGGGTGCAGGGATGGGGACGGGGGCCTCTGGGGTCCCCATCATCCGACTCTGTCCCAGAAGACGGGGAACTCCGGCTCCGGCGGGGGATTTCCCGCCGTGCAGAGCTGGGGGTGGCCAGGTCAATACTGGGGGGCTGGTCCGCTTGACCCGCCTGGCGCTCCAGGCTTGGCTTGGGACTTCATGTGCTGGACACTGGCCAGGATTTTCTTCTGGTGTCCCGCCAGCGTGACTCCGATCCGGAGCAAGTCCCTGGGGGGAAGAATAAGAGAGCAAGGTGAAGTTTGGGGGCTCCTGAACTCAGTGCCAGGGGCCTCGGGGCCCCCAGCCAATCGGGAAGCTGGAGAGGAACGTGGCGTCAGCAGTTGCCACACAAATTCTAGAGGAGCTGGGGAGGCAGAGCGAGTAGGGATGCACAGGGGACCAGCCCTTACCAGGGGTCAGCAAGCTGCCAGAGTTGAGAAGAGGTGGACAAAATACCACACTAGAGAGGAGACTCCAAAATGAGGTTGGGGGGGGTGGCTGGAGCGATAGCACCGCGGGTAGGGCATTTGACTTGCACACAGTCAACTCGGGTTCAATCCCCAGCATCCCATATGGTCTCCTGAGGAGCACTGCCAGGAGTAATCCCTGAGTGCGTGAGCCAGGAGTAACCCCTGAGCATCACCAGGTGTGACCCAAAAAGCAAAAAAAAACAAAACAAAACCAACAAAACCCATAAAAACCAAAATGAGATTGGGGAAGGATTGTGATGGAGAAGAAAGCAGCAGCAAGGAGGAAAAGGGCTGAGGAAGGGAAGACGGGTGAGGCTAGACGGCAAGAAGGCCACCCCCGCCCCATCCCGGCCCATCCCAGAGCCAGAGACTGAGGAGAGGTGGGAAATGGGGAGCAAGAGCTGGCCCAGGAGCGGCCAGAGCGATAGTGCAGCGGGGAAGGTGTTTGCCTTACACACGGCCAACCTGGGTTCGATCCCCAGCATCCTGTATGGTCCCCGGGGCACCGCCAGGAGTAATTCCTGAGTGCAGAGCCAGGAGGAACCCCTGAGCATCGTCAGGTGCAGCCCCAAAACAAAAAGAACTAGGCTAGGAAGATGGTCCACCAGCAGAGCCTCGCACGGCTGAGTCTCTGGGATGGATCCATCAAAAACCAAAATAGGGCCGGAGTGATAGGACAGTGGGTTGGGCATTTGCCTTGCACTCAGCTGACCTGGGTTGGATTGCTGGTATCTCATAGGGTCCCCTGAGCACTGCCTAGAGTAATTCCTGAACACTCAGGAGTAGCCCCTGAGCACTACTGGTGTGCCTCTCCACAAAAAAGGGAAAACAGGGCAGAGTGATGGTGCAAAGGACTGTACGTGGGACCACTATGATCCATCCCTGGCATATCATGGCCTCCCAGAACCTTAGGGTTCCAGCATGCAGGACCACCTGGTGGTCGGGCACTAAAAGAAACCCCAGCAGGTTCAGCCCTGTGTCAGGGCATGGCTGAGTCAAGAGGCGCGTGCCTGACCCCCTGGGGCAGGTCCACTTGGGAGCTGACCTGCCCTGGCCTGTGGTCCAGTACACCCTGGGCCTGGATTTCCCTTCTATGGCTGTGGTGTGAAGTAGAGACCTGGGACCAGGCAGAGACCTTTGACAAGCAACGGGCAGGCCAGCGGGAGGACACCAAAGCGAGGCCAACTAGGGAAAGTGAGAATTCGGGAGGTGCTGGAATCAGAAAATCATTTAGCACTGACGCTGGAGAGACATTCCCAAACTTTGTCCAGACATGGCCTTTTATGGGAGGGAAATGTCTGGAGTGGCCGGACTGCTGCAAACACAGGGCTGGAACGCTGAGACACCCAGAGGGAGATGTGGATGGGGTGGTGTGTGTGTGTGTGTGTGTGTGTGTGTGTGTGTGTAGGGGTGGGGTGGGATACAGGCAGCTCGAGACAGTGCCCAGTCTCTCAACCCCTGCAGCCCTGATGCTTGGACCCATGAGGGTGAGAAAGCCTAACCCTCTTCTCGCTCCAGCCACTTACTCTGCAGAGATCTGGCTGACGAGCTCGAAGGATCCAAACCCGGCGGCGGCAAAGCTCTCTTCGTATCTTCCCATCTTGATGGCGCGCAGCCACTCGCCCACCGAGCCAAAGGCAGAGTAGTGCGGCTGCCGCTGGTCCAGGAGCGGGTGTGAGGCCCTGGATGCAGGGCAGGGACAAGGCGGGAGGCGCTGAGTCCTGCGACATCCCCTCATGTCACCCCCCGGGACGGGGCAGGGGCAGAGGGCATCTCCGGGGGCCTTACCCGCCATTCTCCCGGGCCACGATTTTGAGGCTGGCCGGGTTCCGGATCATCTTGTCCAGGGCGCTGACCACCTGGGGGAAGCGGGGCCGCGCGTTGCGGTCCTTCTGCCAGCAGTCCAGCATGAGCTGGTGCAGGGAGGTGGGGCAGTCTGGGGGCGGCGGCAGGCGGTAGTCCTGCTCGATGGCATTGATGACCTGTGAGGATGGAGCAAG